GGACACACCCCCAGGGATCAGTGATCGCTGAGTGTGTGTACATAATTGAGAATATGGTATGTTAACTATATCCTCAATTATGAATGAATGGGGGTGATCTAAATCACCCCCATTCATTCATAATTGTAGTTATAGTGAACAAACAATGCATGTTATCAATGAACAGGAAGACTCATAGAGGATTCCTGTTCATTGATAACAGGGGACACAGAAAAAGAGAAAAACCATACTCCAAATATAAAATTATTACTACACAATAATTATTATAGTAATAAATACAAAGTAGAGCCTGTGTAAAACAGGTTTCTAAATTCCAGAGTGAGCCAAACCTTGAAAATGTAGATTTCATGCACGTAAACCCTGAGCCATTTTATTAATAAAAAATGTGTACTTGTTTGCTAAACAAAAAGAGATAAATCATGTTATCTTTCAAAAGATAAAAGAATGTGCTAAATATCTCCTCCCACTGGTAATACAAAGCACTGCATTCCTACCAAACAAAACTAGTATATGCCTTTGTTATTATAATACATTGAATTCTTAATGCATAATGTGTGCAAAATCCTGTTTGCAGGGATGCATAATTTTTAGGTGGAAAAGTAAGGTAACCAGGATGCGGTCAGCTGAGAGCTGGAGAAGTGTTCTCATTTTTTTTTTGTACAGGATTGTGTACTAATATTCAAGGTGACTTTTGAACATTTGTAGGACGGAGCCATTTTCTTCCCATATTGTTCGGCATTTACTTTTTCAACAGTGACACCTTTTAAACCTTTGAATCAAAGTATTCTATAGTCTCAATAAAAAGAGTCACATTCTGAAATGTCAAAATACAGAATTGGAGAGCAGCTAAATGGCGTGCAAGTGATGGTTTCACTGGTAAAGTACAGGTTTGCTTTGAGTTTAATGTTTGCAGTTGTAGAGGTTATACATTTCTATTTTGAAAATGCAAAGCCATGAAAAGTGTGTAATGTCAGTCAACAAACCCCTAATGAATATTTTAAAAGAAAACCAGATTTAGACTAGAGTCTTTGAAATCAAGTATGTTACCTAAACATTGGAGGCAGGAGAAATCACCCAATAATCAATCAGTCTTGCACAAATAAAAAAAAAATTCTGATTATATAAAAGAGTTTTTCACAAAAGATTAAAATAACACGTTAGGAAATCATCATTTTTCCTACTGCGGAGTACAAGCTTGCCTAGGCCAAGCCAAGATTGCACATTTCCACTTTCTGGGATTGACTTTCCTTTGTATGTAATATTTCATTAGTCACAGACCTGTAAGTATCTTTGGAAAGCAGTGTCTATTATATTTTATAGATGATACAGATGAAAAAACAAACAAACATAAATTAGGAATAAATAAAATGCTACTGAACTGAAGGACACTCAGCCAAATTTGGAGTCTAATAGAAGATTTCAGGAAGTCAAATAAAATATGTCTACACTAAACCTTGGAATGCCTTATGCAATGCAGACTCCAAAGGAACACATTCAAGAGGTGCTGGGGTTTCTGTGTTCATTAAAATCTTCCAGATGCAGAAATGTTTGCAAATATGCTCACTGGCAAGGCAGCTCCAAACAAAACAGGCCTCCCTTGTTGGGTACCCAGAAGCAACTCAATCTTTAGAAATAAAGGATTCAAAACCAAAACGGTGTTAAATTGTTCACAATTCCATCAAACAAAAAACAGCAAACACATTTCTGGGTCAACATCCCTTTCCTTTTCAGGGCTTAAAATTGGATAAGGATTTGTTTGGACTCAGGAATACTATTACCAAATGGATCATGATATTATTTGAAATAAAGATCTCCTTTAGGAATGAAATTGTAATTGGCAACAGCAGCTCAATCAGTCAACATTTTAACTCTAGGTTATGCACTGCCTTCTCATATAGAAAGGCAATAGGCAACAGTTCAATATTAATATATCAAAAGGAGATACTTACTCTTGGTGACCAAAACCCAGTTCTGGAAGATAAGGTAATTTTTTGATGCGGATAATGCTGTCATAAAGTGATGGCTGAAGACTCTGTGCTACGGCATTTGCGAGAATGACTGCTATCATCACTGGTAAGATGTGGGAAATCTGTCCAGTCAGCTCAAAGACAATGACTGCTGTAGACACGGTATGTGTGACTGCTCCAGACAGTGCTGCAGCACCTAGTGGATAAAAACAAACAATCATGTAGATAGCTGCAAAATATAGAAATGAGTAATGACAAGTAGAAAAAAAAGCACCCACCAACAACTGCGTAACCACCAGGTACAATCCGATATGTACTTCCATCGCTGTGAATACCATCTGGGAACCAAGCAGCCATGCTCTCGCCAACCAACCTGCCAAATGCAGCACCTGCAGTAAGCAGATGGATACAACAAAGCAATTATATTTTAAAAACTATGTATGTATATAGTTTTCAAATGAAAGGGCCATGGATAAAATATAGACCATAATACAATAAATGACTTTTTTTGCAGTAACCAGTCAGTTGTCAGCTTTAAAGGATACATTGGGACGGAAGGGTACCACATTCGTGTATCCATAAATAAAGCAACTGTTCTGACTTTAAAGGTAGCATACACAAGACATTGATATAATCACTTCTTTAAAATACATAAAACCAGAAATTTGAAAAGGAAAGCATTACAATTTGACCAACAATGCATCATGGAAAGTGTATTTGATATGCTGTTCCTAACCTTTATCCCTTTACTTTTACATTCTGAATAAATGCTTCAAAAGAGAATTAGAGCCAAACCTTTTTTGGCTGTAGTTCTCTTTAGTAAATGTCCTCCTGTGACCCAAAACTAAGCATATAGCGGTGAGTCGGGAAAAATCAACAAGAATTGGGGATCCACCTGCTGCTTGATTGACAGCTGGTTCTGCCTCTCTAGCCAGTTGAGGACCGACAGTGACCACTCTTTGCAGGGGGAAGATTGTAAAAAGAGCAATCAGTGGTTTGTAATCGCTCAGTTATGAATTAATAGAGCCAACATGTAAAAGCTGCAGTGCCACACGTCGGCTCTAAGTATGGGGCTTAGCGTATTTCACTCTACCCATAATTCTCCTTTAAGGTTATTTATGCAGAAAGAGTGGGCAAGTACCTACTGTACCCCTTGTGTTTTATTTAGATAATTTGCACTCTGCAAAACTATGAATACCAATCATATGGCCTCCTAATTGGCCCTGTACACCTGCCCTGAAGCTGATACTGTACAGCACATCAAAAAGATATGCACTGCTAAACAGATTAGCCTCATCACATAAACGTACTGTTATTTACAGTAAGACAATCAATGAGTCAATGTCACATTCTCATAGGACTTCTCATGTGCGACTGAGTAATGTTGATGCAGTTAAACAGGAGTCATTTTATTAAAAAAGGATAATGTATCCAAAATACAGCAGAAACCATATTATAATCCTTGTGGCATGGTTGAACAATGTGCCTACATTCATTTTAGGACTAAGGAGAGGGTAAATTTGGATAACTTATAACAGCTAATTAGATATGTACTACCATCTGAAAATAATTTTCCGTTAATTAGCCAGGATTTTAAGGAGGATAAAACAAAAGTTCTGGTGTCTTTCTACCATTTCCCTAAAAAAGCGAATTAGATGAAATGCAGGCAGCTATTGGTGCCAGTCTAATTTGCAAGGCTTCAATGCATCCTGCGAATTTCAAAGGACAGCTTTCCCCCACACAAACATTCCTTTTGACCAATAAAACCATCTGCCAAAGTGCAGACATCTAGACTTCCTTGTGGTCCTTAAAACGACAAGTCTAGAGGTCTGCACTCTGTAAACTTTGTATGTTTTTTTAAGCAACAGGTGTCATACTATGGCTCCACTTATGTAACCAAATGAATTGTTACTTGGTTATATAGTAATGCTGCTGTATTAAAATTCACTTCCATTCTAATCCCCATCACCTCCTCTCACAATCAGACATTTTTTTAAAGAAACATCCCCCCAGAGCCTGGACTTTCCTCTAAATATTGCCAAAATAAATTTATCTTGGTCTTAAAAAAATTATATAAAAAAGGTTGGGTACAGTTTTGCATGACCAGGTAATTGTCAGTCAAGCTATCACGGCAATGAAAATTGGAAAAAGGAGTTTTTGGCTTATAAGAGAATAATGCAAATATGTGATATTCTAAGATTTTAGCCAGAAAGCAAATGTACTATACAGATGTAACAAAACATTAACCAAAGCAACCTTTTTAGTGTTCTCAGTAGGGATGCACGATACCGATACTAGTACAGAGTATCTGATACTAAGTATCTGGGCGAGTACGAGTAATGCTGTCAATGCCTATCCCGATACCAGAACTTCTAGTAATAGCTAGCCAGGCGGCTCCGTGCTCACTCATTACCAGGGAGCATGGAGCGGGCTTCCCGGCCAATCAGGAAGCCGGGGGGCGGGTAATGACTCGTCCCCTGGCTTCCCGATTGGCCAGGAAGCCGGCTCCATGCTCCTTTGTCACTTTTGACGAGGGAGCATGGAGCTGGCTTCCAGGTCAATCAGGGAATCACCGCCCAGCTTCCTAAATGGTCAGGAAGCTGGCCAATCAGGAAGCCGGGAGGCGAATCATTACCTGCCCCCTGGCTTCCTGACTGGCCAGAAAGCCGGCTCCATGCTTCCTCGTCAACTGGTGATGAGGGAGCATGAAGACGGCTTCCCGGCTAATCGGGAAGCTGGGCGGGACATGATTAAATTTTTTTTTTTCAAGGATCGGGTTACCATCATAATTATCCTTACTTCTGAAACTGATGACTATCTGTAATAATAATAGTATTTTTTTTAGTGGTTATTATTTACAAGGCACTTAGTAGTAGTTTTATTGATATTAACTTCTACCTGTATGGTGAATATGTGTGTATATATAACTTCTAAACTTCTTTTTTGTACACACACACTGTTAGTTATGAACTTTCATGAAATATGGTCCTGTCGAAAACCCCTCATATGGTCAAACTGGTTGAAACTGGATTCTAACAGGACACAAGTCCCTCAATAAGAAAGAAATATACAGGTGAAATTCGAATAATTAGAACATCGTGCAAAAGTTCATTTATTTCACTAATGCAACTTAAAAGGTGAAACTAATATATGAGATAGACTCATTACATGCAAAGCAAGATAATTCAAGCCGTGATTTGTTATAATTGTGATAATTATGGCTTACAGCTCATGAAAACCCCAAATCCACAATCTCAGAAAATTAGAATATTGTGAAAAGGTGCAATATATTCTAGGCTCAAAGTGTCCCACTCTAATTAGCTAATTAAGCCATAACACCTGCAAAGGGTTCCTGAGCCTTTAAATGGTCTCTCAGTCTGGTTCAGTAGGAATCACAATCATGGGAAACACTGCTGACCTGACAGTTGTGTAGAAAACCATAATTGACACCCTCCATAAGGAGGGAAAGCCTCAAAAGGTAATTGCAAAAGAAGTTGGATGTTCCCAAAGTGCTGTATCAAAGCACATTAATAGAAAGTTATGTGGAAAGGAAAAGTGTGGAAGAAAAAGGTGCACAAGCAGCAGGGATGACCGCAGCCTGGAGAGGATTGTCAGGAAAAGGCCATTCAAAAGTGTTGGGGACTTTCACAAGGAATGGACTGAGGCTGGAGTCAGTGCATCAGACATCCTGGGGAATGTGCCTAGAGACCTGTTTAAAGACCGTTGTTTTTAGCGCTTTCTCACCTTTTCAGAAGTCGAGCGGCTCCCTGGATTGGTAATGCTGTATTTATCTAGTTTATCATCTGTAATTCTTATACACTGTTTCCATGCCAAGTACATTTAAAAAAAAATATTTTACTACTGAGTAAAGTGAGTTGTTTAAATCATTGCACCCACAATTCTGAACGGTTATGCACACAAACTTTGTTACACTCACTGACCTGAAAAAGCTATATGACACATCAGATCTCACAACACGTTAACAAATGAAACAAGCATGGGGAAGTCAGACCCAATCAAAAATGGCCACACCCATATTTCTGTTCCAGAAAGCACCTCATAATTTAAGCTGCATTGTAATTTGTTTTTTTAAAAGCCCCCAGCCAATTGTTTTCAAAGGACATATTGGGAAGAATTTCCCTCATTCCCTGTCCTTGTGATGTCTGCACAAGAAATAGGGGGTACAGTGGTCGCGGTGATAGGAAGGCACAGACAGCAAGAAACCATTGTTAGAACATCTGACCCTTTGGCACACTACTTCAAATCAGTTTTATGTTTTTGTTTGGATAGGTTTTCCATCACTTCCTGTCCTGACAGGATAGGTTTGCACACACCCAACAACTGTTATTATGGCTATGCATTAAAATATCCAAAATGTTTTTGCAATCTATGGACTCTGGAGAAAGGGTCCTTCATAATTAATTAGTCAAATATACACATGCCATGAATATTGAATATCTACCTCTTTTATTTATATCATGCCGATTCATTCTGCATATAAAGTATGTAGATTAATTTTGTATGTAATATAATGCATTCAATATTTGGGAGTAATATGCAACTAATGTAAACGTACGATGAAAGTCAAACAGAAGCTTAATTGGCATATATAATTAAAAACGTTTTAAAATAAACCGGTCAAAAATCAGGGCAATTCAAAGTGAGCATATGAAGAGTGAATACATAAGCTGCGGATGCCTACAGAGACAACGATCAATAGATTCAAAGATGTAGGCAGCATACATTACAGTTAGGTCTTGATTTGTCATAAAGCCAAGCTTGGCACTGCCCCCAATTATTAGTCAATTAAGGTGATATGTGGCTTTTCACTATCCAACTGGGAGATTAATTTTAAAATGTGTTCATTTAAATGTCCTCTTCAAGCTCAACGTATGTTCATCTCAACTCACTACCCCTTGAACAGTTCAAAATAATGAAATAATGCTTGATGTTCTCTGAACTGTGTGGCCTACATCAACCAGATTACTGCTTTACAAAACACTGGATGTAGTATTTCAAGTTCTCTGGTAGTAAGCAAACGCCTATACAATGGCAATAATATTCTATGTATATATTATGGTATAAGTCACTCTTATTCAGTTAATGTTAGAAAATACTAATTATATGTTTTTCACAGACATACAGTTGTGGACAAATTTGTTGGTACCATTTGGTGAAAAGAGAAAATACAACAATTTTCTCTGAAATGACAAGCAGATCAAAATAATTGCCATCCATCATTGTTTATTTCATACTGAATAAAAATCAATCAATTAGACTGCTTTTTAAATCAACAGAATATTTAAAAAAAAAGCAAATTGCCATGGACAAAAATGATAGAACCCTTAACCTAATTTTTTTGTTGCACAAACTTTAGTGACAAGCAATTCCTGTACCTTTCAACAAGACTTCTGTACCTGCCAACAGGTAGTTTGGTCCATTCTACTTGAGCAAATTTCTTCAGGTGTCTCGAGACTGCATGTTTCCATAGATGTTTGATAGGATTCAGATCAGGACTCCTAGAAGGCCACTTCAGCAATAGTTCAAATGTTTTGTTCCTAGTCATTCTTGAATGCTTTTAGCTGTGTTTTGGGTCATTATCCTATTGGACTTGTGGCAGGCAGTTTTCTGACATTGGGTAGTTATGTTCCAGAAGTCCTTGATAGTCTACAGGTTTTATGTGCCCTGCACAGATTGAAGGCAACCCATGCCAAATGCAGCGAATCAACCCCAAAACATAACCGTTGTTTTCTTTGAAAACTAAATTTCTTTTGTCTGTTAAACATACAAGCTGATGTGACGTGACGTGACGTGACAAAAAGCTCCAGTGTCGTCTCAGCAGACATTCCCCCAGCAGCATTGTCGCTTGTTAACTTGCATTTTAGCAGATTTCAGACTCGCTTTTTTGTTTTTCTTCCAAACAGTGGAGTCTTCCTTTGCTCAAAAAGTGACGGATGGTGCGATCAAACATAGATGTACCTTGACCTTCAGCTTGCATCTCTTTGGAAATTGGCGTTTTCTCCACTATTCACTCTATCCTTTGTACAATCTGGGGTCCATTTTCCTCTTGCGGCCACGTCCAGGGAGGTTGGCTACACAACCATGGACCTTAAACTTCTTAATAATATTTACATCTTTAGGCATAAAACATCAAGCAGCATGGAGATAGTCCTATAGCCTTTACCTTTGATAGGCTGGTCTATAATTTTCTTTCTGATCTCCTCAGACTACTCTGTCCTTTGCTTTCTCTGGTCCAAGTTTAGTGTGGTGTACACAATCATACCAAACAGTCAGAGTGACTACTTTTGTCCAATAAATAGGCTGAGTTGAATATTGAAGACATATGTGATGCTCATTGCCAAAAAATTGTTTGAAATATCACTATGATCCAATTAAGTATAACCTTTTCTAGGAGTACCAACAAATCTATCCAGACAATTTTTAGAATATCTTAAGCAATAACCGATATCTTTTCATACTTTATTTGCTTTACTCTATGACATGGCAAAGGCAGGAAGGTAAACGTGAGACAATTGCTTTTAATTTCAGCACCAACAAATTTGTCCACTTCTCTATGTGCATACCAATATAATTTGCTGCAACTCCTAAAATAAAGAATGTTAAACAAAAGTGCGCTCTATGCTGAAAATACCAGCTTATGCTGTTTTTCATCATATGCTCATTTTGAACTTCCCAAGCTTGTAATAGATTTTATGGGTTAACTCCTGTATTTTTTTTATTTTAGAGGGGGAAATCACATCATCTCCCAATTACATGTCATATTTCACATTGAATTCAACATTTATGAAAATAAATTTCTCCTATTGACCTATTTACGAGATGAAACGATGAGGAAAACGAAAGAATTCTGGAATAACTCACCAATCACAAAGACTGGCATGAATGCTCCACATGGCACTGGGATTGTAGTAGCCAGAGCAGACATCCAAAACTAAAGAATGTTACAAATACATTAGAAATGTAAGTCATGTTTGAATATTAAACCCTAGTGTGAATAAAAATAAAAATTCAGCATCAAAGATTGAAATTCTGAAGTGCATTATGGCTTTTGTAATAATTACACATTTTAAATTCAATGGTGGGCATATACATTTTATTTATATTGAATATAAATGTCTTCTAAAAGGAACAGGAGAGGTTACAGCACCCTTTAGAGGATGTGACTGAGTAAAGTGAAGGCATTAACTATGAGTCTTGTGACTAATCTAGCATCTCGTTCAGGAAAATCCACCAGAAGTGAATGAAAGAAAAATGATGTAAAAAAACACAGCGGATGTTCAAATATAAATTATTCCCACTTGGTTACATTTTGGCATTGATGGATTATGTGCAAACTTGACTACCATGTTATAAGAGACTGTGTTTGCTAATTAGTGATCTCCTGCTTCTATTGCCAACCTCTATTTTTTTAAAGCCACTGCACATACATCACATTACTCATAGATAAATAATGTGAAGTAAAATAATGTCATACTAAAATAAAAGGAGCAAGGAAGGCATTAAGATATTAACTATATTACATTAAAAAAATTATATATATATATATATTAAAAAATGTTTATATGTTTATTATTTATATTGGGGATGCACCGAAATTGCAGCCGATGATGGTACCATGGGAAAAAAAGGTGATCATACTAAAACTGCCCAAAATGCGGTGCATGTCCAGCTTCTCTCCTCCCCACCTGGCGCCGGCTGCAAGCTTCAGTCTGTGTCCCCTCTAAATCCAGGATTGGGGCGGATACAGAGCTGATCCAGCTGTCAGCACCCAGTGGGGAGGAGAGAAGCTGTCAGGAGGTAGAGCGGGGTGGAGTGGGAGGAAAGCTCAGCCTCCTGTGACAGGCGGAGCAGTCAGGATGGAGAGCGGACCACATGCATTCAGCAATCAGCAGTGATCACTGAGTGTTTGCAAATAACTGAGTAAGCTTACTGTATCCCCAGTTATGAATGAACAGGAAGTGCTCATCACTTTCTGTTCATTCAGGATTGTGGACATAACTGCTACCGATAACTGATACTATCTCCTCAGTTTATGAATGGACAGGAGCACACAGTATAGAGGCTTCCCGTTCATTCATAACAAGGGCTGCAGAATTAGAGATTTAGGACTCTGTGTCCTCAATCTCTTATTCTATTTTATGTCACCAAAGCCCCTAACAGTAAAGTAAAAAAAAAATTGGTTCATCAGGCTTATCTTACCTTCATTAGGATGAAGACCACCAGGCTAACAAACACATTTGTTTTCGGGTTTTTCCAGGCACTGGAGGCTCCTTTGTACATAAAGTCCTCTGATACACCTTGTTGAGCCCATGTGCAATTATCAAACAGTGTTACCAGGGTTTCTTTCTGGGTCAGCTGTAAGGGAATACAGATCATACTTGGTCTTTTAAACATTTCAGATTTGCTTATAAATCACTTAACTCTGTTTCCTTCTGCCAATTGGAATCTTACCTGACCAGCCATGAACTGTCCAAATCCAGGAGGGAATGTCAGAGTGGATATGAGCAGGGTGACCACAGCAGGAAACAACAAGCGCCTGTGAGATAAAAATAAATCTAACAGTTATAACAAAATAACTAATCAGTTGTTTTAAAAAGTCACAGGTTTAAAAGGGAAGGGCAGCTTTGTTAAACGCATGTCTGCTATCCATGCTGGGTGGAGGCAGACTTTATTCCTGAATACTGCTTTCACTTTTTTTACCGATCACATCTAGCTCCAATTGTTATATGGAAAAATTACAGAAAATAATTCAACTTGCTGAAACCTATCATATACTACCCAATTATGTTAAAGCAAACCTAAAGTCACTGCAAGGTTTGGCCATATTGTGTAAGTATGCACAGCATACATACTTACACATAACAGTATAACCTTGAAGTGTGCCCTCCTCCAGCAATGCAAGGTCCACACTGCCCCTTTTTGCCCCATCTGCTGACATCTTCTTCCTGTTTTCTTCCAGGTCTGGTATTGATAGATACATAAAGTATGTGTTTGTAGATTGCCATTAATAAACATTTCTAAAGGTGTGTTTTTTGTAATTTTAAAGATATTGGTAAAGGTCCACTATAAACCTCACAAAAACTCTAGTGGAAGAAAAATTGCTATAGGATTAACACAGTTCCACCTCCACTGCGTTGAAACCTACCTAAAGCACACAATATTCACTTTATTGTCAAAAGTATTGGGACACCCCTCCAAATCAGGTGTTCCAATCACCTCCATGGCCACAGGTGTATAAAATCAATCACCTAGGTATGCAGACTGCTTCTACAAACATTTGTGAAAGAATGGGTTGCCCTCAGGAGCTCAGTGAATTCAAGCGTGGTACCGTGATAGGTTGACAGAAGTCCATCCGTGAAATTTCCTTGCTACTAAATATTTTCCACAGTCAACTGTTAGTGGTATTATAACAAAGTGGAAGCAACTGGGAACAACAGCAACTTGACACAAAGTGGTAGGCCACGTAAAATGACAGAGCAGGGTCAGCGCATGCTGAAGCGCACAGAAGTCTGCAGAGTCAAAAGCTACAGACCTCCAAACTTCATGCAGCCTTTAGATTGGCACAACAACAGTGCGTAGAGAGCTTCATGGAATGGTTTTCCATGGCCGAGCAGCTGCATCCAAGCCTTATATTACCAAGTCCAATGCAAAGCGTCGGATGCAGTGGTTTAAAGCACACCGCCACTGGACTCTAGAGAAGTTGTCTGGCAATCCGATGGAAGTGTCTGGGTTTGCCGGTTGCTAGGAGAACGGTACTTGCCTGACTGCATTGTGCCAAGTGTAAAGTTTGGTGAAGGGGGAATTATAGTGTGAGGTGGTTTTTCAGGAGTAGGCATACCAAGACATTTTGGACAATGTCATGCTCTCAACTTTGTGGGAACAGTTTGGGGTTGGCCCCTTTCTGTTCCAACATGACTGCGCACCAGTGCACACAGCAAGGTCCATAAAGACATGGATGAGTGAGTTTGGGGTGGAGGAACTTGACTGGCCTGCACAGAGTCCTGACCTCAATCAGATAGAACCCCTTTGGGATGAATTAGAGCAGACACCGCAACCCAGGCCTTCTTGTCCAACATCAGTACCTGACCTCACAAATGCGCTTCTGGAAAAATGGTCAAACATTCCCATAGACAAACTCCTAAATCTTGTGGACAGCCTTCCCAGAAGAGTTGAAGCTGTTATAGCTGCAAAGGGTGGGCCAACTCAACATTGAACCCTACGGACTATAACTGGGATGCCATTAAAGTTCATGTGCGTGTAAAGGCAGGCGTCCCAATACTTTTGGCAACATAGTGCATCTCCATCTAGTATATTTTGGGGACCTATTAATTACTAGAGCTACGCATTGAGTCAGGAAAATATGTACAAATATTAAAAATAAATTCATAAATAGATGATTATAGAAAAAAGGGAGCTGGAACAGCATGAATAGCACATAATGTGAAGACGCTCTTTAGGGCTTGGAAGAATAATTGTCTGACTTACATACTGTATTAAACCCTGACTGTGATGTAAATGTTATGCAGTTCTACCTCACAGCTGGAGTAACAAATTTAATCCGGCAGGGAAATTGATGGCACAGATGCACACTGTGAGTTCTCTGATAAATATGTATTATTTTTTACCAAAGGTGAAACCAAAATCCCATTTATGACCATGCACCATTCTATTGAGGAACTATGTACACTGCCCTTCACATGACAATCGCTCAAGCGATATATCTTAGAAGAGCTGGTTTTACACTGTACAGTACAAAACACAGCCCACATGCAATATGGAAAAGCAGAATGGAAATATGGGAAATCGGCTCTTGTATAATATTTTCTTTTTTATATACACACACACTATAAATGGTACTTTTTGGGTCAGTTTAATATAGAATACAGCATGCAGTTTTTTTAGAACCATTATTACCCTTTTTTTTACAATCCAAAATGTTTTAAATTACTATTAAATCTGTTTCTTGGAGTTTATTAAGGGATACCAGACAGGTGAAATCTTAGACAATTGGGTTATAATGCTGCTTACAGGAGCTTGGACACTGGCAAACACAGTCGTGCCAGCCAACTATAACCCCTCCCACTCCCATTATGCTCCATGTTCATGGAAAAGCAATAGTAGGAGTGCATCATATCCAAATGAGGAGTGGGCAACATGGCAGACAAAATGCCAACAGGCCCATAACAGGTCAATGCTAGGACTAGGTGAAGTCACAGGAGAGAAAACTGCCTGAAGAACCTTATGGTCAAAGCTGGCATCAGATAAGCACTGAACATCTACCTGGCAAAACTTGACAAATGATTGAAAAGAGGACCAGGTGATAAACTTGCAAATCTGTCAAATCTGAGAAGCAGATGACTGATGTTGAAAAGACAATGAGGCACTAAGTGATCTAGTGGGTTCACCCTGACTTGAAAAGGTGGAACCCTGTCTCTAAGCCCATAGGCATATGTGATGAGCTGTCTAATCAATTTGGAGATAGTAGATTAGAATGAGGGAACAATGTCCTGGTTAAGTTGAAAGTAAGTAACTTGGGGAGAAAAGAGGCTTTAGGCCTCAAGATAGCCTTGTTTTTGTTTAGCAACTTTAAAAGGGTTCTTTGAAAGACAAGGCTGCCACCTCAGAAAAACACCTTGCAGAGGTGATGGCAACAAAAGTGCCTGTGAGTAAGGGAAGACAAAGGAAAAATCTCTTGTTCAAATGGCAGTTCCTGAAGAATTGGCAGCACCATGTAGAGGTCCCATGGGGTCAAAGGTTGATGCACAGGAGAAACTATGTGCGCGATACCCAGAAAGAAAGCTTTTACTAAGGAATGGGAAGCAAGCAGAAAACAGCTACAGCCAAGCATTGGCCCTTAACTGTACATAAGGCCAAATGTTGATCCAGGATATGTCACACTGAGTACTTCCCGGGATGGAAATTCCTTTTCTCGCACCCCAGAAAAATACACTTTCCAAGTGTGATGGCAGACCTTACAAGCTTTCAGAAACATAGGGATAACTAAATCAGTTAGCCCCAATCTCTTAAGACCTTTGTTTTAACAGTCTGGCCATCAAATGCCAGCGACTGTGAATCAGAGTGGCAAACTGGTCCATAGAACACTCAATCCAGGCGACCTGGAAGAACATGCAAAGAATCCACCAAGAATCTGATGAGGTCGGAGTACCACCTCCTGGGCCAGTTCGGTGCAATGAAGAGTCCCCTCTGACTTGATTCTGTGAAGCACTTAAAGTAGGAGTTTTAGAGGATAAAAAGCATAGATCAGATTGACCCCACACAGTCACCAGACCGTCCGGTACTAAGGCTAAAAGTTTGTGGTGCCCTCTTGAGTGTCTGACACATTTTGTTGTGTCACAGCTCACTATTCATAGCCCAACTAGGGACAGTGCAGAAACTAAGAGGTTAAACGGTGGCTGGTAGCAAGGATGTTTAAGCACACTCCAAGGCAGGAGTGTGTTTAAATCTTACAAGCTGATTGTCAGCTTTTGGATAGAAGTGATTTGCAGTCACCTGATCACTTCCACACCCCCAAAAGTGCTGCCTTCCCCCATGCACCCTGGGCTCTGCTGCCCCTCTTGTGGATCCGGGACAGGCATGGAGACTGTCAGCGGGTGGAACAGAAGGAGACCACCGAACATCCCTATATGGATCTTCCTTCCTGCATGACACTGGAAGCGATGAGAATATCATCACTTCTGTGATCAGAGCTGTCCTTGATCAGCTTTAGTGGGGTCCAGAGATGACATTAGGGGTTTAATAGATGATGTCTCCTTAAAGAGGACCTGTCATATCTCTTATGCTATCACACAGGGGCTATCAAAAAGTAATGTAAAAAAAAAAAAAAATGAAAGAAAAATAAAAACAAAAAAAACACAAGCCCCCCCAACAATTTTCAAAGCCCCCCACTCACACATGCATGTATGCACCAACATAAACACATGTTGGGTATGCCTACTCACAAAAACGGCGACCATATGCTAGGTATCGCTGCACACGCCACAATGGGAGCAATAACAATAGGGCCATTAGTGAAAGTTAGCTCTAAACTGATGACCTTATAAAGGCGTTTAACTACTTGCCGTCTGCACATTGTAAATACAGGGGCGGACAGCAACCTCTTCCCAGCAGGTGGACGTACATGTACGTGAATTTTTTCCTATGCGTGAAAGCAGAATCCCAGTGTGCATGTAAACAGTAGGCACTGGCTGTTACATACAAGCATTTGTCCGGCTCTACAGCCACGCTCCCGCCTTCCACCTCCGCTCCTGGTTATCCCAAGCTCCGCTCAAGGCCCAATCAGGAAGCCAAGTTGCCTAGCAACAAGTGAAGCCGGCTTCCTAGCCAATCAGGAAGCCGGGAGGCATGTCATGATGTGCTGCTTGGCTTCCTGATAGGCTAGGAAGCCAGCTTCACTTATTGCTATGTAGCCTGACTATCTGACCAATCAGGAAGCTGGATGGCACCTCATGCAGGCGGCCACAGAAAGTGAAGCCGGTGTTATTTCAATAGAACACCGACTTCCCAGGCAATCAGGAAGCCGGGTGGCGAATCATGATCCGCTGCCCAGCTTCCAGATAATCGTGGCACATGGCACCAGTAACGCTACTCGGTATCAGCGAGTACCAGAAAAAAAAAATATCGGTACTCGATACCAAAAAAACGGTATCGGTGCATCCCTAGATTGTACAAAATAAGTATGCAATATTACATATTTATATGTATATGGCCTAACAAAATCTATACATATATGTATTTTTTTTAGTACTGAGGGTAATAAACAAAGCAAGAAGATATGTACAACACAACTATACATTCCCTTTAAAGCTTTATTGCATGGACAAGCTGGACTTAATATTTGCAGGTTATATTATTAATATGTTAAATTCAGTTTGGAAACACTATCGCATGTATCATTGCTAAAGGCAAAATATATTGGTTTTGTTAATATTTTCTTTTGCTATTAATTATGGTAAAAAAAAAAATATCCTTTCTCTTTGGATCTCTTTCAGGTAGGAAAATATTAAATATTTCATATGAATATTTTGAATTATTCTATGATGGCAGCAGGTGGAACTCTCAGTTCCTTTACACAAGTTTCCAGGCTCTGCTTATTTGCTAAGAATAACTGGGACGAAGCAACTGTGCTGTGATCACTTTTAAAAAATACTGCACTTTAAAATCTTTCAACACAGGTTTGTAAAACTAAGATCGCAGATATAAAACTGTTAAACATGGTCTTAGAAACAGGTAGATTTTAGTGAGACTGTTTCATGCAAAAAAAAAACACCTTTATGAATTGTATTTGGTGATGGGAAATGATCATGTTATAAAGTAATGCATTAAAACAACTCACAGCTTAGTGAACTAAATCTAAGTTCCAGAAAACTTTGTGATCAACAATCCTCACTGTGATGTATTTTGTTGGTAATATTAATCCATCTTCAGTGGGCCAGGCAAGCAATTGCACCATGAAAGGGCTGTTTTTGCTCTTCCCCCACTTTTTTTTTAGACCCTGGGTGTTTTGCAGACCGCAGCACTGTAAAAGGTCAGCAGACCTGAGAGTATACTTGGGGAGGTGCAAACCTCACCTCCCCTATGTTTGTATTAGCACACCCTGAGCAGAGATTCTCCTCTCACATAACCTTAGGAATGATCCCGTGTTCAGGAATGTTTAGTTCCCTTCTCTACACCCAGTTGTAATCTTAATGTATCATCAGTAACCGGAATAAATCAAGCAGAGATTATAACAGACACGAGTTGTGCTGTAGGACCGTTATGAAGGATTTGAAGAAAATCAATTAAATCATAGGGAGGAAACAAATTAGCTTATTTCATTCTTGCTTACAGTAAGAAAATCATACCAGCCATTCCCTGTGCATGGTTCAGCTGCTCACATAAACTTTAAAATTACATTGTGCACAGTACCTATGAGAAGAATTTTAAAGAGACTCACTTTTTCATAAGAAACTTGTTAATGGTTTTCTGCTTCCTCATGAATTCTACAATTTTCCGATTCAGGTAAACAAACAGTGCACCACCAAATCCACTGGCAATCCTGAGGAACAGACAAAAGTATAAGGGGCACTGACTAGCTATGTTCATAAAGAATTGGCCAACATTTCCTTTTGAGCCATCTCACAGAAGATAGTAGATTATGTTTCACTGTTTAGTGAAACTGTAACTTAAAACTTCTATCTATCCACACAGAAGACAGAAAATGATATAGTATTTAGACTTTAACACCCTTTGATTTGATTTTACATAGATTGTTAAGATGGTGTATAAAAAGGCCACTGAATTAACTTTTCTTCTATTGAAATCAGATTTGCTGTCTGCAGTTGATCGTTTTTGCCCCTTTCGGTTCAAATGAACTGGACAAATATAAATAAAATATCAAGTCCATTAGTGCCAAACAGACATTCAGCAGAATTCCTGTCACTGTAGGTGTAGGGAGTGTGGAATGCTCAGAAAATGGTTAAAGGGTCATACAACAAACTCTTGTTTATATAGCTGTCCAGCAGACAGAGTGGGCTTCATTTTACATTAGAACAATAAACATGTTTTCACTCCTACTTAAAATTTGTGGCTGGGATCACATAACAGATAACTAGAGTTACACAGTGAACTAGTAACCAAGTAACGCAAGCCGCTTAAAGGGCCTAAGACACATTAGTGCAAGTCTGCAAGCCTTTGAACCTCGTGGGAAAGTTCAAAAACATTTGTGCTGTCAACCAGTAACCAGTCCTTTCACCTTCAAAAGTATATCAGAATCAGCAAGAATATATTTAATTGTTATGAACCACATTAGACCAAATTGACTCTTTCACACCTGAGGCTAAATACCACAAGCAGCAACACTTACCCAATCACAGCAAAAGCTGGAAGTTCCTGCAGGTCAAAGGGAAAGTCCAGACGAAAGCGGGTTTTAAATAAAGCAGTGATGGTCTCTGAAATAGAAGCAGAGGCCAGGGCGGATAAAAGAAATCATAGAACAGGGAACATGGTCAACTGACAAGTATAAGATGTCTTAGCAGCATTGCTGGCCACACTTATTCTTCTGCCTATGGCGATTAATAACATTACAGCCAATGTCACCAACTGTCACTAAGCAACTCTATGAGATGGTTTTTATTAGGGCAATGTTTGCTCGAAGGAGGAACTATTAGTACAGATGATCACCCAGGGTACAAGGCATAATTCCAGCACTGTCTTATCTGATAAGCAAGCTGCTGTCATAGTATTTAACAACTAAGATCATCATTTCTAGTGGTTTTATTGTTTATGGCATTGGTGATGAGAACATTTTTTTTTTTTACTTGAACCTTGCAGCCACTGTTTTTCTCATTGTGATTATTAGCCACCAACAGATCAGATGCATCATATCATCAAATAACACCCTAAATATACAAATGAGCGGAACGGCATGTAAAAACCTATGTATTCCCTGCTGCATGACACTGATCGACCTTGATGCCTGTGTCACATGCTACCCCTCCCTAGAAGTACAGGGTAGGTCACTTGACTTCTGTGAAAGCAGCCACAGAAAGGGAAGTATACACAGCATCAAGGGGTGAGCATTAAAGTGAACTGCTTGCTTTGTCCTGCTAAGTACACATTCACTTTACATGTTCATCTAGGCAAAACTTTTCAATTTAGTGTAAAATATTTATCATTTACAGCACAAGTGATTCGCATTATCTCACAGTAAATATCCAGGGCAATGTACAGTATTCCCGTCTCCCCTGGTCACAAGTCTCCTTTAATCCATTCTAGGATGTTAAATAATCCTAACATACATTTCCCATATCATGCACTGCTGCTGTAATTAAAAAAATGTTTTTTGTTCTCTGCGTCCCCAACAGGGAGATTTCTTTTCACTAGATGACACAGTGATCACTGTTACTTATACAAGAAGGGAGGCAAACAGCAGTAAAACCTGAAAGAGATACTCATTTTTGCCCACTCAATCCAAACAAAAAATGGTTTTGTCAGGAGCTCCACTTTAAATAAGCTGCATTTTCAGGGCTTGAAAAACCCACTCGTCCGCTCGTCTGTGACGAGCAATTACATTACTTCCTGCATTCACTGTCACTTTCCAGCTACAGAAGCTGATGAAGCCGATCTCTGCTTCATCAGCTTCTCTGGGGGTCTTGGAGGCCCCTGATGTCTCCATAAAGAGGACCTGTCATGTAAATTGGCTATTACATAGGGGGCTTCTTAGGCCCCCATGTAATAGCAATAAAGCTGTGTGTAAAAAAAAAAGTAATACTAAAATTAAAGAATCATTAAAAAAAACATATTAAAAAAGAAAACATTTTTTTAAGTCCCCGCCCCCCACATACATACGCAGATATGAGTCGGGGGCGCCTACGTGCGAAAACAACGATTGCGCCTATTGTGCCGCACATGTTAAATATCGCCGCAAACGACGGAGTGAGAGCCATTAATCACTGATAACACTAAACTGATGAGCAGTAAAAGCGCTTTAATCGTCGCCTATGGGTGTTTTTTGCGATTTTGTGGGCGCACGCAGTTTTAAGGCTTGACATGTTTGGTGTCTATTTACCAGCCATGACCGCGAATTTTATGTTTTACTAAAAATATGGGTAAGAATAAATGTTTTATAAGATAACGTAGGGAAACTTTGGTTATTTTTTACATTTATGGTACTTTTTCATTATATAGGGGGGGGGGGAATAACCCACCCCCCAGTGGTGATTATATACCTCCAAAAGAAAGCTCTATCTGTCCCCAAAAATTTTTAACATAAATTGCAAGGCTATAGTCCGGTCATGCTGACTAGTGAAATTTTTGACTGACTGGTGAGACACCATCAAATGTTTCAAGCCCTGTGCATTTTATTATGGTCAGTGATCAATTCCCACTGAGCATAGGAGTGGAAAGTTCTCTCTCAGGTCCACTCCTCTGCTCATTGGGCGGGTGCAATAGCCAGCCTGCTATTGCTATTTGAAAAAGCCAATAGCAGGTTGGCTTTTGCTCCCCATTGTTTACATTCTGCTGCCAACTGCAGAAAGATGTAAACAAAGAACTTCTTTAGCAACTAAAAAAATTTAGTTGCTAATGACATTTTTTAGTGTGCACCAAGCAACTGACAGTTTTTTTAGTTTGCCCCAAGCCACCGGCACCGGGCTGGTGAGCCGCTGATCGTTCTGTACAAGTGACCTGGGCTTCTGGCAGCAAGCTTGTCCTCCTCGCCGTCCCCCCCTCACATCTGTGGTTTCGGGGCCCCCTGTACCACGACAATGAATTCAGGATGGAGAGCGGGGAGCAGACCAGAGAATGTCCGTTCTCCAATCTCCTCTGTGTGATCAGTGAGACAGGAGCACTGTAAAATAATTTTACAATAATTTTAAAGTAGATAGTCATGAGGGACAAGTAGACTGTCCTTGCACAAGTAGTTTTTTTTTTTTCCACAGCCCTGAGTTCATTGTCCCAATGCCATTTCTGCCTATGACAATAAACTGTCCATTTACCAACTGTAAATGTTGTCTAAAATTTTATGTAAACTAGTCAGCCATCTAAACATATATGTCTCAATGTGAATACAATACAAGCATCTTTCTAGGTTTTCAGAAGCGTCCTGGGAATTCTGAAATATGCCAATTCCAACAATTTCTAGTCAAGTCAATAGATTAACTATCCATTCCCTGCCCTCCAAAACTTCCTATTTGCTCATCACCAGGCCTCACGGGCTAGTAGGAAATTGTGGGAACCTGATCTGGAAGTATTAGGGAGTGTGGAAATTAGCATATTAGCATTCCACATGCTTTAGACCTTTCAAAAAGCTCCTAAAGATACTGGAAAGTATGTGCAAGCACCTTAAAGTGGCCACATACTATGTATATATACTAAAATGGACAGTTTATCATATTTTGAAAACTGAGAGGTGTACCCCAATTCTCAAGTTAGCATGTAAGCTGTATACTATAAACAACATGACAAAAATGGTGTCTGTACTTACCCTCATCCTTGTTCCATACAGCTAAGACTCGGAATATGAAAGCACTGAAGGTGGCAGCAAAGAAACCACGCCAGTAATTTCTCACAGCAAAAAATGTTGAGGTGACCTCAATGCTAAACAGGACTCCTACATATGTAAAAAGAAGAAAAAGGTTTAGCCTTAACAATACTACCATAATCTACAGTAAGATATATAGATATGTATATATATTGGATATATATATTAGAGATGGATAGATAGCTGGATAGATAGATAGCTGGATAGATACATAGCTGGATAGATAGATAGCTGGATAGATAGATAGCTGGATAGATAGATAGCTGGATAGATAGATAGCTGGATAGATAGATAGATAGATAGATAGATAGATTTTATTTATTTTTTAATCTCAGGGCAGCAACTGTCACCTCTTATCCCTGACTCTCAAGCTGAAGAATCAAACATGCAAAGCAGAACATTTTCATTAAGCAAACAATTACAAATGTTGTATTAAAAAGCCTTCATATTTATAATCACTTAACACTAGTATTTATATTCTTATTACGTCCACTGGTAACTGGCTGCTTCACAGAACAGAGTTTCATCCTTGGAGAGATAATTCTAAAGAATACAGCTCATCCAAAAGGCATGCCACACAACATTTGTTATTACAATGCTGGAACCGATTGTGAGATAATATTAGAGGCAGGCTGTAAAAGATGTCAGCGAGTGCAAGGGTTTATCTCAATATCCACAGAACAGAACTATGTATGGATCTGCAAGAGTGTTTGCTAAAATTATTTACCAGCATATGTAGCTGATGTAAATGGGATTGTTTTTCACACAACAAAAATGGAGCTTCTATTTAAATAGCCTCATTAACACAGGCTGGTAGGGTAATTGGCTCCTGTCAAAAACATCCCTGTATGTATGTATGCATGCGAGATAAGGACCTTAGATTGCAAGCTCCTTGAGGGAAGGAATTATGTGAATGTAAAGCGTTGCGCAAATTGTCAGCACTATACCTGTAATAAATAAATAAATGAATTATGTGGGTTTCCTGATTTCTTCAGCTCATAAAGATATTTTCAGATTTAAGCAAAATTATCTTTGAATTTAACTATGCACATTGTATTTCAATGTGCTTCTAGAGGACTGGTTGCTGTACTTTTTAAACTCAAAACCTTATTTTCAGAGCACTTCCGTAGCATAAACAAAATACAGGTACAGTGCGCACTACTCTTGATGTCTGTGGGTCAAGAAGAACCAAAAAAATTTAATCTTGACAACTTCCAGAGAACAGTTCACTTGCAGTATCTCACTGGTGGCAACATGAACAATACAACTAGCATTGCTAGAAAGGAAGCTCTGTTCACAGAAAATAAGCACATTCCAGCGTCATAATATCAACTAATCTCCATTTACTAATAAATCAGCTTTACAAATAGACTCTCACAGTCTAAAAGCCGGTCATCTATTAGAGGAAAAAAGTTGTTAATATTGTTAATAATCTGTATGCGAGACTACCTGACCTAGAAGTAGGCAGCTTTCATAGAGAGCTCAGACGGTCATGCATGAAGTATTATGCTTAACTGAGAACATTGTGATGGACACTGCTTAGTGTGGGCATTACTAGTTATAATAAGATTTGCTATTGTATAGGGATAAAAATGTATATATGGCTAAAGTCAGTATTTCCATTCCCAAGACATTATTATTATACAGGATTTATATAGTGCCAACAGTTTGCACAGTGCTTTACAATAGAAGGAAGACATAACAATCACAATACAATTCAAGACAAGATGGTAAGGAGGGCCCTGCCCGGCTCTCCTGCATCAAAAAGAAAAAAAAAGAAAAAACTGTTATGTTTGTTTAGCTGTGCACAATCTGTCCATTTTATAAAGAAGCCCCACTTACTCACATGCTAGAACCTAGGTCATGTGAGAGATTTGCTACGGAAACTAGATGTCCTCTTATAAATTATTAAAAAATACACACATGTGATGAATGCAGCGGTTACATTTTCTAATTTGAGCACTATAAAAATTAGGCCCCTTATTACATTTAGTTATGAGCTCTGCAATTATTAAGAATCCGATGCTTAGAAACGAATAGCCTAAACTGCAAAATGAGTGAATGAACAGCATAATCCTGATATATTGGTGTGTTAGACTGATGATTACATAACTCTGATAGCTCCCACACATGTATTTCAAGCAACCCTCCCACACAGCCTCCTGATCATCCATCTTACACTTTATACACACCCACCACTCAAATACTTCAAGAATCCTTTATACAGCTTAATATTCCTCTTGTCCCTACTTCCCACACAGCACTCTTACCTCCAATAGGAGCAGCAAAGCAGCATCCAACTCCAACAGCACAGGCTGCCGCCAACATCTCAATGTTACGAGACTCGTTCTAATGAGTAAGAAACATTAATATGAGTGCCATAAATATGCAGCCTAGTGCACAGAATAAGACATACCTCTGCCAAACAGAATACTGCAACAGCTTGAGCTACATAGAGCCAAACGAAATATGGGCTGGTTATATCATACCATATACTACCTACAACACTGCATGGTGTCTATAATAAATAGCTGTGCAAAAACACCAAATTAAAAATCAATGGACATTCAATTGCACTCCCATATTATGAGCAGGTACACATTTAGGCACGATAGGCTTATTTAACAACAGAGCAAAGACAAACATTGAATATTCCCAGTGCCTCTTTAAATATGTTGTTCTGGAGCCTTGTGAGAAGAGGCATACTCAAGTTCCCTATATCAAGTCAAGAGGGACACTGGCAGGGAAGGACATTTGTGAGATATTATTACTCAATATGTATGAGTTCGATTACTCAGTATGTACAATCAGGCACCGTATGGAGTAAAATACATGACAAACTAGACCAATAATATAAAGGGACTCAGTGAGGATATGAATATGTAAGCTGTCAATGCTGTATGCTACTGATTCTTGCTTCCCTATCTTGTAAGTCCCGGACCTGGAGAAAGTATGCAGAATAGGAGTTTGTAAAGTTTTTGAAAGCTGTCTGTTTAAATCCTGACTGCTGCTATCTAACTAAAAAACATATGTCAAAATGATCTAGGAGTGGACAGGAAGGGAGTGCCTCCTAGCTCATGAACTTGTTGGGACTGTAATTTGATATCACTTCTACTCGGGTTGATTCACAACATAGGCTATTCACAGCATAGCACTAAGTCCGCTGGTGAAGATGCTGCCACTGGCAATTTACCTGCTTACTTTCTTTATAAATATACATTTACCTGGCTTAAAATGATTTTTTTTTAACTTAAGATGAAAAAAACCAAAACAAAAAACAAACATACAAAGCACTATATATTTCCTTGAAATAATAAAAAAAATTAAAACAGTATAGCGGTTCCCGATACACAATTTTTAATATAAAAAAAGTAAATATTCTAGTTTAAAAGAACTTGGGATAGTCCATGGAAAGTCCACTGTACATAGAAGACTTGGTAAGTATTGAGGTTTATAAAGCCTAGTTTAAAATAAAGCCGACGGTACCCCTTTAATGTATTGATATGATAAGATTCTGACTTTCCAAATCTACACACACAGACCCTAGAAATGAAATAATGCAGCATGAGTTAAGATTTGTTCTTCAATAGAAAGTGAATTCTTTATGTTCCTTGCTGTAAACAAGGAGCACTCTGTACTACTGGAAGCACCCCAAACAGTGAGAAACAGAGTACAAACATTTTGCAACATACTTCAGCTGAACAAATTGAGGTTGCTGGACTTTAAGTCTGGTAACCACTGGCTCTGCCATTTGGATCTTCAATCTGTGGTGGAACTTCCTTCTTGACCTTTGGAGCTCCTATCAGCTTAGACATTTCTAGATGTAGATAGACCATTTATGGTATTTGAAGATATGTGAAGGGGGAAGACACCCTCTTGTCATGACATATCCACCAACTAGAAGTTGTTGGTCTCTCCTCAATGGACTATAGCCCATCCGTCCTGGATACATTGGAGGCCCGTCAACAAGATAGTATTCCATTTCAAGTGCATAAATTCTCAATTGCAAACAGGTTTCAGAAAATAACGTACAAAATTCTATCGAGGTGGTATAAAGTCACATGGCTACTACACAGGATGAACAATGCAATCCCACCGTTGTGCTGGAGATGCAGTTCAGATCGTGGGATAATGACCCACATCTTCTTGACTGACTTGAAATTATGAACTCATGGTACATGCAGTAGTTTCCCAGCTGACCATAGTGGACTTAAGGCATAACTTAGCATTGTGTCTTTTTGAGATGACTGATCTCCAAGTATAAATCTTCCCTTACTATACACCTGATTATTGCAGGCAGGGCTTCCCACTACCCAAATGTGGTTCACCAAGATAAATTATGTTTATAGAAGACCTTACAGCTTCTTTGAAAACCAGTTAAGAAAAGTTCAAATCCACCTGGAGCCTCTGGCAGTTTTTCAAGACAACTGATCAATATTTACAGGTTATAACAAACTGGCAAAGGAGTCGCAAACCGTCTACCCCGTAAAAGAGGATGATATCGTTTTCTGGGTTCCAGCTTGACTGGGCCACCTCTTCTACCCTTTCCTCTATTTCTACCCCTTTCAGGGACGATGGCTTCCTCCTACCCATTGGTTTCTCACTGTCCTCTAGGACTTTTGCCAGCCCACCTGCCTCCCCACCCCCTTCCCTAGTCATAACCCTCAAGTTTTAAATGTCTCTTCTGATCAGGGGCACTTGAAAAATTTCCTCAGAAGCTCCTGCTGACATTTTGATATGGTTTTATACCTCATTTGTTCAATACCTGTATTAATGTATGTTTTAACATGTTTGTTTTATATGGATGGTACTTGACGATATTGCACACCTTTATAACTGTGTTTACTATGACTGTTATTGTATCATCTATGAATTTCAGCAAATTAAAAGATGAAAAGAAAAATGAACATAAAGAGTATATGAATCGCACAAGCTAAGTTTGCTTAATTATTTGCATTTAAATGGCTTATCTGCCTTGATTTGTGGGAAGTGTAACAAATATCCAGGGGACATCACCTTCTGTACTCACTTCATATATTCCACCAAACAGCGACATGAACTTGCTGAGCAGAGCAGCACACATACTGGCAACATGCACAAATGGGCCCTGAGGAGACGAGAGAGAGAAGTGTCAGCTCAGATTCACTCTTTGATAAATAATGTGACTGAATGGTGCCTTGGCAGACTGCTGACTGAAACATATTGAGCTCAGACAAATAAATGCTGTTATGAATTACTTTTGCAGGTAACACGATTTTAAGATAATGCATGCGTAATCTCTACTCCATGTGTCCGTGCTGCTAGCTATTATATCTTACTGGCATGCAAGATATCCATTGGTAACTACAGACTCTGCATTTTCACGGCCACATATGCTGTAAAATAAGATCATGCAAGAGTTATACGTGGTGTAACATTGAGATGCATTTTAGTTCATAAGGAATCTTCAACTATTTATACAAGGGCCTATTATTTTCCTGCTATTTATTTTCAATAAACGTTAAGGTGTCAAGGTCATAATGCATGGTCTGTCCCTTAAATATATACAGCAAATAATCATCTATGTGGAAAGCTGGTTGAATGGCTACAAGGTATGGGTGTACTATATAATGTATGGTAGCTGTCCAACAAAACAAACTGTTTTCTTTTTTTAAAGCGACCATCATGAACTTTTGGCACTGCCAAGTAAGTCATTCTGATTTATATTTAGTGAATATGTAACCATGTCACGTAAAAGCAACATCTCATGAATTATGAGTAGTACATGCTGTTAATCTCTTAGCAGTGCATTCACAAAATGGACCATAACTGCATAAAACATTATTTCTGCTGAAGTCATTTACATTCACCCAACCAATGATGTTTTCCAATGCCTGGACTGTCCTGTACTGTGACTGTGACCACGACCTTGCAGAAGATGAAAATATGAAAGGAACTTTAAACTCCTGCCTCTAGAAGTCATGGTGATATTGGATGATACTTTAAATCTGACGGTCTTAATTGCATTCTCCTGTTTCAAGTGAACCTATGAGGCTATCTACAGATGCTAAAAGGACCTAAAGAAATATGAGTGCTGCCATTGCTGACTTGTATGTGCACCTGGAATCCAGACTGGACCACTGTAAGGTTTTAATTGCTATGTTTTTACTGGGGACATTGCCTCTCACTTCCTGTGCAAGCGACAGGTGATCAGAGGGGCAAGAAGTAATGGGAGACCTGAATCTGTGAGGTATTTATTTATGCGCATGCCTTTGACCCCTATTTCCCTAATTTCTTGTCCTGGTGTTAATAACAATTAAAAGTGAAATGATATCCTCAAAGCAGCGTCTCCGACAGCAACAAAATATTGACATATGTGCTAACCCTTCCATCCGCTATGCAATACTATAAAAAAAACAAAGTGTTGCCTAGAGTTGGCCTCAAAAAATTTAGCCTCTGGGACTGTTAATAAGAGGGCCAAAGAGCCAGCCTCTTTAAAGGACACCACCAATGAATGCACCTTTATTTCTATCCTCCTAGGTTCCCTTTAACTATTAGTGTCACCCTATGCCCTACCAATTCATCACAATACAGTTCAGGTTTGGACCTCTATGGGCACAACAAGTAGGCCTAGTGAAAGTACTTTAAAACTTTACCGCTTTTCCCTTCAGAAAATGTTATAGGTAAAGGAGGACCAGAGGATTCATGTATTGTCATACCAATGTCAGGATAACTAAATAATTTTTCAGTATTACAACATATCCAATCCTCCATGGGCAAACTTAACAAAAAATGTTACTTAACAGTTACTTAATTCAAAGGTTATATTTTTTTTCAAAATCATGAAGACCAGCATCAAGCCAAATGTGTGTTGAAGAACTGCATTCATCATATTTGTTTTACTATAAGTGCACACTGCTAGAATATATAAGACTCTCTTCCAGCTACTCCACCAGAGGTCGCCTGCAGTGGAATAAAAAAAACAAAAAACCCCAAAACCTTAGTTGGAATCTGCAGGTCTGCAAAATTCACACTTCAACAACCATAGGTAGCGCTTTGTGAATTTTTAATAACTCCAAGCTGCACAGAAAATGTTTAGTATCAGAGCCAAGATATAAAAATACTGTTCCTTCATGGAACAATAAGATTTATAATTTTTTTAGTAACGATAGTTTCTTTGAAAGCATCAAAACTTTCAGATATTTATTGCACTAAATCAGTGGTCTGATCCATAAATGATGGTATTTATCAAAAAGAAACAACTGGTGTAAAAGCCTGTCAAATGTGACCAAACTGTTTTTGGAGGTTTACTACATGAAAATGGACAAGTGTGATGGGGGAACATACAGTATGTTTAGCAAAGCGATGAATAGGGAAGTGGAGGGGCACTATCTGAAAGTATACTTATCCTTTAAATCCCATGCACAGCTTCAAATGACAAATTGCAATTCTTTCCTGTGTTTACAATTAGGCCATGACAAGCATGCTTCGACATCTTAGCTTAGACAAAGCACAGGACCTACTGGAGGCTCGCCTGTCATAAGCCTAGGCTCGATTATGCTCTTTCATTTAATTATATGACGGAATACAGCAAGCAATGGATTCTCAATTATTTTCTGTTTAATAATAGCTGATGATTTATAATGATTCCCCCTTAAAAAGTAAAGTTGTTTTTTTTAAATATTACCTTGTTCTATCAAGAAAAGATGAGCATACTTAGAGCTCTCAAACAAAATAAGGTATCATTTTTATGCCGGGGATCCCTGGTACCTTAAAATTGATATTGAATGTCTGTTCAAAATCAGGAAACATTTAAAAGGAGAACTATGGGGTTAAGGCTTTTCCCCATAGTTCTCCTTAGGTTAACGGGAGGACACAAACTAGCGTCCTCCCGTCACCCTAGGCTCAGTATACCGCGAGCTGTAGCTCGCGGTATACTGAGGCGCCGCAGCTGGAGCGCATCCCGACAATTGTGCCGGGATCCGCCCGGCTGCGTGACTGACAGCTGGCTCTGCCTATCTAGAGACAGAGCAGAGGGGGGAATCCAGCCCCTCCCCTGTCACGGCAGAGAGCCGTGACAGGATCGAGAGGTGAGCGAACGCCGGTATGTGTTCGCTCACCTCCCGATCTACTGAGCCGACCTATGATAGTCCCATTGTCACAGGTCGGCTAGAACTATGAGGTGAGTGAAAAGAACTCACCTCATAGTTCTTTAAATGTGTTAATACATGAATTACTGCTTGTTGGTATTTGAATTGATTTTTATGTTTGTAATACTTTTAAATATTGTCCTTGTACTGGTAAAATTAAGTAGTTTTCCTTTAGCAGATCTTTAGATCCTGCCATTAGTCTTTTGTTTTTTCAGCTTCTCACTATAAGTAAAAGAATTACAACTTATTGCAGCTACTAAAATAAGATGTTCCTTATATTTTATGTTGGGTTACTGTCATGAGTAATTGTCAATGGTTTTAGTAACATAAGATCATGTTTCTTTACTTGAACTTTCTTCTTACAATTACAGTATTCCTAGTGCAACCCATCCTTCCTCTGTGAGAACCAGAGAAATTAATCAATTACTTCCATAGTGTCTTCCACATTCACTCCTTGCCGGAACCAATTTTACTTCCAGCAACATTAACAGTGGCAACTGTTGTCTATTTGCAGCGAGCAAAGCAGATGTGGGGGACTCATGTGGGTTTCTATTTCTTGGTAGATTAAAGTCAACTTTTACTGAACAGCAGAATAAACCTTTATGATAAATAGGACATTGTGGTAAACCAAAAGTCCAGAAAATGACCAAGAGTCCAGAAAATGACCTAAAAAGGCACCATACTCACTTCTTTTCCAAGTGGCATTCCACTACCAAGGGCACAAGTAAGTCCAATGACTTTGGCAATGAAAGTTTTAAGGGTGAGGTATTCTTTTAGTACCACACCACGCAGAATAGTCTTCATCTCTGGAATGCCAGAACCTAGAAAATATAGAACAAGGTGATAATAAGTAAGAGTCTACTGAAGGGACACAAATGACAGCAGCATTGCAGTAAGCAGTAAGTGCCACCGAGGTTAGCTATGCAGTACTCTGTTCGGGTGACACACGCCCTTTTCCCATAGTAGTTCCAAGAATTCAGGACCATTGGACTGTTATTTTAAGGATTAACTAAAGAAATGCAGACACACAGTATAACATGAGTATAATTGAAAGATTTCTACTAGAAGACTAACAGATGACTGGTGTGTATGTGTAAGGTCATTTCAGCAGTTGCTTCTTTATCAGGAATGACTAAAATACCTATTTATAAAACTGAGAACTTGCTCAAATCAGATTCTCTGTTGCACATGTATTTTTGTACTGTATTTTGTGGCTACAGGCAAATGTACACATTTTGTGCAGAATGTGCTTTCTCCAGTTTTTTCTAATTTAAATTCTATTTTTCTAGCATATACTATATAAATACATATATACATATACATCTATCTTGGAAATCTGCAATTCAACCATTCAAATTAAAATGGTGAGTGGAATGTATGACAAAAGAGCATAATACATGTGTTATAAACACAGCAAGAAACAGATGTAGGAATGTTAAGTAAGTAAATGTATTGATGCAGCTAATTGGTTCTTGAGTGTAGAGTGAGCATTAGGAGAAAAAAAAGGATTTTACAAAAGGAGTAGAAAAATCCTGTTTACTTTTTCGTTCATTGAGCACCACAGAATTTAAGGCATTTGAAACATCCAAAAGCTGACCTACTAAATGGTGGGCAACACAGCAAACAAAGTGCTAACAAGCTCAACAAGGAGCTGCCTGAAAGGTTCTAAGCCCAAAGCTGCCATCAGAAGAGGTTTGAACATCCACCTAGTAAAACTTCAAGAACATGTGAACAGACATCCAGGTGGCAGCATTGCAAATCTAGGAAGTAGTTACCTGATGTTGATAAGCCCAAGAAGCACTCACAAATTTAGTAGACTGTGCCTGGATAGAAAAGGGTGAAACCTGATCGTTTAGATCATAAGCCTAAGGGCCTGTTCACATGAGTTTCAGGTCCTGATCAGGTCCGGATCAGGTGCGGATCTGCAGACGCAGTGTTAAGTGTTTTTGCTGCGTTTTTGATGTGGTCCAGTTAAAAAAATATATATATTTTTTTTTTTAGCTGGAGTGGGGCTGTTAGTATGTTAGCTGCAGTGCAGTGCGTTTTTGACGCGTTTTGAGTTTCCTGATCGGACAAAATGTGACATGCAGTATTTTTTCTGTCGTAACCTGAACGGACTGCGCACGTGAGAACTGTAGCCCATAAAACACATAGGGATACATTGGGATGCGTTTTTAGTGCAGGAGCGTACGGATCAGGTCAGCACAGAAAACGGACGTCGTGTGAACAGGCCCTGAAAGATGATTTGTCCAAGCCACAGAGAAACAGTGGAGCGAGAAGCTGGTTCCCCTCTAAGGGGAACCAGTGCTTACAATTATTTTTTTTCCTCTTTTAATATTTGTTTTGTGCCTGCTAAAAATGTTTATGCTGTGGTGGTTAAAAAATGCTTAATAAAAATTATTAAGAAAAAAAAAAGGGGGGACAACAAAAATGAGTTTGCCTTTCTAATGGAGGCAGTAGCTGTGAGGTACAGCTTGAGCTACATCCACGGGGAGGGAAATCTCCCTCTGTTATATTAGTGAAGAAAAGAGGCACAGGAGCAAAATGTCCCGGTTAAAGTAAAAGGCTGAGACCACCTTGGGAATGCTTTGTAGAGGTGATGACAAAAAGGATCCAGGATTTTAGTGAATGAGGAAAAATGGAAACTCCCGGTAGGTTGAAATGGCAGTTTTTGAGGTGCGCTGAGAGAATTCAAAACCCATGGAGAATTAAGTGGGCAGACGTAGAGACCTGCAGGAGAAACTCCCTGTGTGAAGGTCTTAATTAAGACATGAGAAGCTAACAGACTTTGGAACCAAATTGCAAGCACTGACCCTTAAAAGTACTTAGGGCCAACTGTTGATCTAGGCCTAATTGTAAAAAGCCAGGATTTGTCTCATGAACTACTTATAGGGATGAAAGTTTCTTTCCTCACACCAAGTGAAGAATGCTTTCCATGTGCGATCATATATCTTAAAGGGTTTCTAAACCCTTCGTTTTTTTTGCATGCATCTACTGCTAGCAAGCAGTAGATATATGCAAAAAATAATTTTTTTTTTTGTAAACTTACCGCTGTCTTCGCCGCACGCTCCCGTCCGTAAATCCGAAAGCGCTCGGACGGCCGCAAAGCATCTTGGGGCGGGCGCATGCGCAGTTCGGATTTTCGGCCGGGAGACGAGGAGAGACGCAAGGTAAGTCTATAGACGCGTGCACCCGCATGCAGATACCGTGGAACAGGAAGTGCCAGCAAGGACAGAGGAGTCAGCGCTGGATCGGAGACCCGCAGCAGAGCTGGAGAGAAAGCTGAAAAGGACAGGAAGAGTGGATTAAGAGACATCATTTAAGGTAAGTGTTTTAATTAACATTGGGGTGAGAGAAAAAAAATGTGACTTTAATGTCACTTTAAGGGAAGTAAGACTGCCAGGCTTTTAATATTGTGGGGATCATAGAGTCTGAGAGGCTCAGGTTCCTCAAGATCTGAGGTTCAACAGCCATGCTGTTAAAGCTAGCGACCATAAAGCAGTATAGAAAATGGGTCCTCAGGACAGAAGATCCGTTCAATCTGGAAGAGCTCATAGAGCCAATACCATTCATCTGATCCAGTTGGAAAACCACATCCACCTGGGCCAGTCCAGAGCTATGTGCATTACCGGAATGGCCTCCATCTTCATCCTCTGGAGCAGGCGAGGAAAAGAGATTCAGGCGAGGAAAGGGGTAGATCAGATTTACTGATGCCACAGAGCCACCGGAGCATCTACTGCTTTTGTCAGAGGCTCGCTATACCTGGAGATAAAACTATCCAGAATATTTTTGAACCTGGAGGCCAGGAGGGCCACATCAGACACCCCCCCACCTGTTTCATAAGTTCTAGAACACTTTCAGGTGTAAGAACTACGCCTCCATGTGCAGGTGTTGCTGGCTGAGAAACTCTGCCTGCCAATATTCCATGCCTGGGTTGTGATTGACAGACAATGCTGGAATGTGCAGTTCTGACTAGGCAGAACCATTTCAACTTCTTTTGGCATGGCAGGACTCCTGGTTTCTCTGATAGTTGATGTATGGCATTGCTGAAGTGGATTCTGATTGGCATCTGATCCAGATGTATAGCACTGCAGAGACACCCAATTTCCTTGAAGCTCCAGAATGTTAATCAGAAATTAAGATTCCTCAAGCATCTAAGTCCCCTGTATCATGAGGGTGTCTAGGGCTCCTCCCTAACTAGGCTAACAGAAATCCTCAACTTTGGCAAGTGGTATAAAGAGGTCTGGAAAAATACCACAATCAGAGCCAGTGTCCATAGGTAACATATCAGGCAGGCCCTGCAATCTTTGGTCCAGTGGGGTCTGGGTACAGCTAACAAAACCATTGCTGAGAATACACCAATCCGGATAGCTGCATAAAAGGGACCAGCCCAGCAGAATGTAGATGAAATCTTGATTGAAGAAGAAAAAAAAAAATCTTCTAGAAAAAATTGGCTAGTAACAAGTCTCTCAGTAGAGAAAAGATGTTAATTCCCCATAGACACTAGCAATAAAACTGAGGCATGCTGGGAGTGGGAAAGAGTATGCCAGGCTTGTCACTGTTTTTTGTTGCTTGCCAGTGTCCAAATCCTCCTTTAGGCGACAGTATGGCCTCATTCACACGAGAAAAGGCCGGCACGTACAGCTCCGTACATGGCCGTATTGAGCAGCTCCCGGGAAGGACAGGTGCTGTGTGTGATTAGTACGCAGCCCCTGACCTTCTCTATGGGAGTGCGCGGCCGTACGCCGCCCAAAGCGCACCCCAAGTGCAGGTCCGTACGGGTGCGGGTGTCCCGGCTTGAACACAGACAGGATCCATCGCACCTGTCCTTCCCGGGAGCTGTCCCATACGGCCGTGCACGCAGCACGAAGCTGTACGTGCCGGCCTTTTTTTGTGTGACTGAGAGCTATAACCAAATGTCACTGAATCCTTTGTCTCTCAATAAAAGAAAAAAAAACTTTTACAGCAAAAGTTTTTCAATTGTAGAGATTTCATTTTTACCACCTAACAAAGGGGGGGGGGAGTCAATTTTATTAATAAAGGGAGTGATGAGGGTGACATGGATCTTTGTAGCCTTATGTGCAGACCAGTTTTCTAACTTTTCTGTAGTGGCATCTACTACATGATGATAGCAGGGTTGTTGCCTGTCCTTGGTTATGTGTTGAGGTATTGTGGGTTTTTTTTTGCAAGACGACATCTGACATACACTTGTGCGATTTTGTACCTGGGGTTCCCAAAATAACAATTATCTAAGATATAGGAGTGTCAAATGCAGCCAGAATAAAAAGTGACAGAACAGAATATACTTTAACATGTAGACACACTGCAATCATGTACACTCCAGGACTAACCTATTCCTATTAGGCATGCTTCTAACCATCTAGAAAGGAAGACATTAGACACGCTGTTGATGCACCCTTACTGAAGGCTTTAGAGGCATGTGACCTGAAATTCAGAGAAAGCATGGCTGCACAGAATGACTAGCAAGCTTAAAATGATTTCAGATCTATTAAGAGGCACACGACATTGACTCTGCGTAATTGCAAGAATCACTGAAAATGTAACATCAAGTTGACTTTCACATAGCTTCAACATTTCCGGGCTGAGCTGGTTATTGAAAGCTGCTCTTTCACCTGTTCTTAAAGGAAATCTGGGCTGAGAAATTTTCATCTTTTTTTAACCTGCAATTGACCTACTTTGTGTGGGTTTTGCCTTACCATGGACTTATATAGGAATGCAAAACCTGCTTGAAGTGAACAGAAGCTTGTTGACACAGGTCTTAAGTGACTCAAACTGATAAAGCCATTGGGATAAGAATGGAAGCCAGGCAACTACAAGCATCAGAATAAAAAGCTCAGCAATAAACGGCTGTGTATTTTTGTAGCACAGGTTTAATTTAATTAGCAAAGAAATGCTTAAAAGAGGGAGGGCACCGAAGGACTCTGCATGTCCTGCGCAGCTTTTGCAATTATTGCATAGCTATGTAAAAATACATTTACATTTCTCATAGAACCAATAAAACAAGAGTTTTAACTGAAACAAACAGAATAGGTAGGAATAACTGCCTTCACTGGAGGTGAGCTGCAAGTCAATGGGACTAGTAAACGGCTAGCCAATAATATCCACAACTATCAAGGTTTTTAAGGGAACACTCATAGTACTGTGTTTTCTCAAGCCTTTCAATGCAAGGGTAAACATCTTTATATACCTTGTTCGTCTGTGACTCAAGACACACATGAAGCATTGCACATACCTACAGCCTGAGGCGCCATGATCTGTGTGAATCCTGCAGAGAAAGTAATGAGGACGACAGGATATGTGACCCAGGCCAAGTACTGTAGAAAAATATTAGTTTCCAAACCACCATACATCCACTTGTGAGCTGTAAAAAAAAAATACCAGACAATGTTTTACATAGACAATAAAGGTGGTGAAAAGGTGGCAAAAACGGAAGGAGAATCATAAAAATGATGCATAATATAATGTCATTCATAGGAATTGCCTATGCCAGGTTTCCCGTATCTACTGATCTTTTCCTTCCTTCTCTGTCATATTTATGTCCTTCAATTTGGGTGCTTCCTTCTTCTCTGATATTCTAGTCTATAGTGGCCAACATTAAAAGGCCTGCGCACTTATGTTTTCTTTAAAAATGGTACATATATTACCAATTCTTCAAGGGTATGCTAACTTTTGAGCACAACTGTATTACAAAAACCTCACTTAATGAGTAGGGGTATTTTATTCCTGCTTGACCACTATGATTCTGGTCAGAAGACTTAAATGCATTTTCTAATTTTGCAAAGAGATTTTGTTCCAAGGCAGTAAAGGACAGAAGGAAACTTTTTATGCTAAACATTATTTTTAAAACATCACATTGTTTGTTGTAGTTAAGCCAAATTCTACCCAATCCATGAGCTCATTGCTCAGGTAAGGTTAGGGCCATTTAGGAGTACTCCTATGAAGGGATTATGAACACTTGTTATGTCACAATCACAATTGTTATTGCTGAAGGATTTTTCTGACAAGTCTGAAAATCTGCATACAACCAAGCCTAACCTTCACTCTTCAAAATGGAGAGTGGACAGCCCATTTGGTTTAACAGACACATATGCACACTTAAGCAAGCCCATTGCCAGAGCTGCTCCAGCTGCCCATTTGCAAATAGGGTTGCCCACTGTTAACATGACAATATATATTTTTAAGAACATGAATTACATTTCAAAACAAAATTGTGTAATTTATTTAATTACTCATAGTAATTATTAGTTTTGTGAATATTGCTGTAATTTCAGAAAATGGCAATACAAGCAATATTAAGAATAAACAGTGAATACCGATTGTACATGTGTCATTATGCCATCAAAAGACATGCACAACTATTCTGTTTAAAAGACCGACTTCCACACAACATAGTAATGCAAAAGGGATTAAAAAAAAACCCACTACACTGCCATTTTTTTTACATGTACTGGATGGAGCACATGTTACACCGAATATCAAATATAAAAAAATGGTTAAACAAAAACAGTAAGGTCAAATTAGGTAATAAGAGACAATATACTAGTAGCTTACCTTGTAGGCAAACTGCAATAGTGAAATCCATGACCCAACTGACAAGAGCCATCAGCAAGCCCAGAAGAATAAGGAATATCCAGTCTTCCCCAATATGTGACAACAAAAGTCGCTGAGTATGAACGCAACATACTGAAAAAGTAAAAAAAAAATAATCAGAAAACAGACTACAAAAACAGAATCACGTGAAAATATTGGTATAGATATATGAAAAAGAAGATCAAAGTATACTATTCATTAGGGATGTTCAGGTACCAAGTACCGTACCTGGTGCGACGATAATAAGGTTTGAGCCTATTCCTATAAAATCTATCTAGCTAAAGCAAATGCAGTCTTTCATTATAGGTGATCTTAGCCTGATTCTTCTTCAGGTCTCTTCAAATTCCAAAAAAAAACAGATCTGCTAAACCAGGGGTAGCCAAACTCCGGCCCTCCAGCTGTGGTGAAACTACAAATCCCATGATGCATCTCTCTCCAGGAGTCATGTCTGTGGCTGCGAGAATCTTGCAATACCTCATGGGATTTGTAGTTCCACCACAGCTGGAGGGCCGGAGTTTGGCTACCCCTGAGCTAAACGGTGCCTGTAATCTGTATAGTTATTAACCACCTGCTGCCAAGCCATTTTAAGGCATTTTTTAAACATCCTTTCCCACCTGCTTGAACTGTAAACAACCAGCGATGGCAGTTTACATACATTTGGCGTTTGAAGAGATGCCCGATCACTTGTATTATACGTGTGGGTGTGCGCTCACCCCTCTGCCGATCCCGAGCGCCTGGTGCGGGTCTGGACTGGCAATGACGACTTTATGAGCGGTGTCAAATCACTAATGCATGGTAATGCTTTTGCCCAGCTCAGCTAATCCCTAACAAATTAGCAAGTGACAGCTTTAGATAAACACCGGAGGGCCTGGTAAGGATAATATGACCCAGGTCACACTCCAGTCATAAAACTGAGTGTAAAATTAAGTACACAAATAGATGTGTCTCGTCAAGACGAGAACAGACATGCCAAAAATAGATCGATTACAATCCCCCAGGGAACATTTACCTCCTGCCCCCCACCCCCATCATTCATATCTCTGGCAAGTTTGGTTTCAATCTAATGCAAACTTCATGACGCATCATAATGTAGGGGTTGTCAGATTGTATTGGATATGAATAGTCAATTATCCTCTTAGTTATGAATTTAACAGTTTGGGAGGAGCAGAGGACATCATATAGGCTTATATGATAGGCCATCATATAGGCATATAGGCCCTAGAGGCTGGCTCCGTGACACCCCCTAGAGGGCTGACAAAAATAATGTTGCAAGGCAGCTACAGGTGGCTCTTGTTTTGGTGACATCAAGGAAAGGAACCCCTGCAACATCAAGAAGTTTATAACATCCCAGAAGAGTTCCCCGTTGATATCTGAAAATCATCTGTGCAAGCCTTGCTTGGAGAAGAGCCTGTTCTCCTGTTTTGTTTATTGAACTCTGTCAGAACTCTTAAACCCAGGACTGTTAAGTATTCTCTTCTTTTTCCCTTTTGTTTTACTGTTATATATATATATATATATATTCTGAACAGTCAGGTCAAAATTTCAAGTCCTGAGCTACTAGCCAGGCCTTAAGAGTTACTCGCCACCAGTTGCCAACCTATCCCCTACCCTCCCATGGCCTTAACTCTGCCCCTAAACACACCCTCTTAAATAATCTGATCAATGACACTGTTACATGTTTTATGCAAAATAAAGTTATAAGAATAAATATTAACAACTTTAACAATATTACCATAAAGCTCCCTGCCCCCACATATAAAATAATACACCCCCCCGTTCCCTGCCACCTGCCCCCACAATGTAAAATAATACAAGGAAGCCCCCTCACCTGCTTGCCTTTCTGCGGGGAGGAGGCGAGCAGGCAGATCCCTGGTGATCTAGTGTGATTAGTAAGGTCTGCAGACCTTACTAATCACTTTGTTTTCGACCCGGAGCTCAGTAAAGAGCTCCGGCCGAAAGGAAGGGAGACAGACCAGCAGGAGCAGCTGCTTCCACGAGACAGGTACGCGCTTCTAGACCGCAAGCCTGACGGGAATTTCCACTCGCCAAATGCGAGCAGGCGAGTGGAAATTTTGAGCCCTGACTTAAAGTATCCTTGCCTTTGTGAAGAGCGCTTCTGTATAGTGAATCCTGTCACATTCCTGTCTGTGGGGACAGCAGTATCATAGGCTTTAAGTATTTTGAATTGTCACAGCAGTTGCTGGGGAAAAAACACGTGGTGGCAGCGAACGTTTGGTATGTAAGAGGTTAACTACAAAGTTAACCAACCCTAGTGACGATCGCTCTCAGTCTGCTGGCCTGAGATTGTTGTTGCACAAGCGGGGAAATCTCTGTGCAAAGTGAGGCCAAGAGTGGTATTGCCACGTCCTTGTTACGGCTCACTCAAGACTAGACTAGAGAAAAACTCAAAAGTCAGGCGGTAGCTGTCATTTTTAAAGGAGCATATGGAGATCCTGGGATTTGTGCATCCCTGCTTTAATGTATGATTATATATAAAATATAATTTATTAGGGATGCACTGATACCATTTTTTCCAGACCAAGTACAAGTACTTGTCCAATTTGTATACAGTTATCAAAATGAACTTAGCACATAGGTTGTTCCAAACATCTAGGAGAAAGGAGTTTGCATGTTCAGGGGTGTGGAATTCCTCTCGCCCGACGCCCGGGACATGCAGTTTCGGGCGCCGGACGAGTGTTTTTTTTTGTACTTGTAGCCCTGCTCCGGACAAGCAGAGCTAAATGTACAGCGTGGAGGTAAGGCTCGTTTTTATACATGTGATCTGATCACTTGTATGAAAGGAGCGGCGGCAATCGTGTCCGGCCCCTGCCGCCGTGGTTTTCGGGGTCCCCCGCTCCTCTGGGGGACCCGTGACCACGGCACATGAGCTCACCATAGAGCCCATAGAGCAGACGAAGAACGTCTGTTCGTCTGCTCTGTGTTATCACTGAGACTGTGGTGCTGTGATCACAGTGCCACCTATCTCAGCTGTCAGGAACTGCACAGAACATCTGTTCTGTGTTGGAGCGCAGGTTCCATAGAGAGAACCCGTCACCTCCAAACTATCACATAAGGGATTTTTAACCCCCTATGTGATAGGAATAAAATTAGGTGGGGAAAAAGTTAAAAATTAAAAAAAAAGTTATAAAAAATAATAAAATATATAGAAATTGAAAAAATAAAAGTGATAAAGTAAAAAAACCAAAAACAAATGTAAAACCAACCCCTGCCATCTGCATGCAAATAAACGCATTATTAGGACATTGTGTGTATGCGTTGAGTGCTGCCGCCATTCCTCTGTGCGCCATATTGTGGTAGCCAGGCAGCAGTGCTCTCCTACATGCACAATGCGCATTAAAGGGTAAGTTCACTTTCCCCCTTCTATACCTACCTTGACGGCGAACAGTCGTTACCCTCAGCCAGTACAGGTGTACTATCTGTACCCCGTACCGCAGTCCTGCCCTGTGCATTTTGAATTTCACTCGCAAATTGCAAGCACTCATTGGTCAGGGTGGTCACCTGACCACCCTGACCAGTGAGTGCTTGCAATTTGCGAGCGAAAAGACCAATGAGAAGCTCTATTTAGCACAGTCAAATACAGTTTTGATTAGGGATGCACCGATACATAGTATTTGGGCGAGTACTTGTACACGCCCAAATGCTCCGATACCTTCCCCAATACTGGAACTTCCGGTCAGCGGAAGATTTCCTCTGACCGGCAATGCCATAGGGGGAACATGGAGCCAGCTTCCCATGCAATCAGGAAGCAGGGCAGCGACTAATGAACCGCCTCCCAGTTTCCTGATTGGCCGGGAATGGCCTGGCCAATCAGTAAACCGGGAGGCAGGTCATAAGTCGCTGCCCTGCTTCCTGAACATCGAGACGGCTTCAGGGCCAATCAGGTCATTATTCGCCGCCCGGTTTCCTGATTGGCTGGGAAGCCGTTTTCCCGGCTAATCACAATAAAGCTGGCCAGATAACATGGAGTCGGCTTCCCTGGCAATCAGGAAGCTGGGTAGCATGTAATTACCCGCTGCCCAGCTTCCTGATTGCCCAGGAAGCCTGCTTCATGCCAATGGAAGCACCGATACTCGGTATCGGCGAGTACGAAAAGCAAAATATCAGTACTCATACTCGAAACCCAAAAACGATATTGGTGCATCTCTAGTTTTGATTAAAACAATTTTTTTGTATTGGGACAAGTAGATTGTCATGAGGGACAAGTAGATTCGGCCCCCGCTTTAGTCCTTGGACAAGTAGTTTTTTTTTTTTTAATTTCCACACCCCTGATGTTCTCCCTGTGCGTGCCTGGGTTTCCTCCGGGTACTCCGGTTTCCTCCAACACTCCAAAGACATGCTGGTAGGGTAAATGGTTTCGGTTTAAAATGACCCTCATATATAAGCATGTGAGATAGGGACCTTAAATTGAAAGATCCTTTAGGGCAAGTGCACGGTGTAAAATGCTAAAATTGTCAGCGCTATATAAATACCAATAATAAATAAACTAACCACAGTTTTCTGTGGATTTGAGCTGCTTTGTTTGCTTCCATCTCTTCATGTGATGTGGAGATGATGGAGATCAGGGCTCTTGGAGGGCCATAACCGCTCTCTTTCAGGATTCCTTGTTCTTCTTTTCATTCAAGAGATAGTTTTTTGTGACTTTAGCTGTATGTTTGGGTCCTGCTGCAGAATGAATTTGGGACCGATCAACCTGATGGTATTGTGTGATGGATAAATATCTGCCTGTGCATTAAAGCCTTGGGAAGACCATCAATTCTGACCAAATCCCAAGGCAATATGCAGAAATGCAGCCCCAAACCTACACGGAATCTGCACTGTGCTTCTCTTTTGTCTGTAGACACGTAACATTGTGCCTCACTCACATTCTGCAGGTAAAAAATGCCTTTTGTTACAGCAAAATATTTCAAATTTGGACTCTTCAGCCCAGGGCACCTGCTGCCATTTTTCTGCACATCAGTTCTTGTGTTTTTGTACATAGGCGAGTTACTTGGCCTGGTTTCTGCATAGGAAGTAGGTCTTTAAGTCACAAGTCTTCCCTGAAGATCTGACCAGACTACTCCAGACTGTAGATGGGTGTGCCAGGGTCCCACTAGTTCTGCCAAGTCTGTGCTGATAGTGCCACTGGACATCTGCTGATTGTGAATAGAAGTCAGCACCATGTGTCCTATCTGCAGCACAAGTTTCCTTGGCCAACCAGTGTTCTCAATCCTCAACATCATTGGGACCTTCTTGATTCAGTAAGACCACCCTGTGTCTTGCTGCTGTTCTCCATCTCAATCCAGTCTTTCCATTGTGTAAGCTTTTTTCAGCAATCTCAACTTGTTTTGTTAGTAGAGCGTGGCTTTTCCTTACCCATATACAATGCACCTAGATAGATGTTGTTTTATTCATTGATTGTATTTTAACCTGCATGTTATCTTATTGATCATTAGCACCAGTTTGGTATAGTTGGTTTATCATGCACTGGACAATGTGCCTGCAAAATCCATAAAGTGACACTAAACTCAGGGGTTAAATTTTAAAAATGCAATACAAAATCAGTAAAGTAAATATGACACTGTAGTCCATAACAGGACCAAGCTTTAAGCAGTGGCTACCTTACCCCACACACAGGAACCATGGGGAACAAAAGTAGCCACCCTCCAGAAGGAAGGACGGTGTCAGCACCAATTCAGAGATGTGAGGATCTACAGCTGAGTGATGCACAAAAAAGCTACTTTGTTTTAATAGTTGAGGTACTTAAATGTATTTTTAAGGTTTAAAAAGGAGAACTATGAGGTGAGTGCTTTTCACTCACCTCATAGTTCTAGCCGACCTGTGACAATGAGACTGTCACAGGTCGGCTCAGTAGATCGGGAGGTGAGCGAACACATACTGGCGTTCCCTCACTTCTCGATCCTATCACAGCTCTCTGCCGTGACAGGGGAGGGACTGGATTCCCCTCTCCCCGCTCCGATCCTCCAACGCTGACTGGCGGAACGGACGGGGGAGGGGGCGGGTACAGCTGGCTCTGCCTCTAGATAGGCAGAGCCAGCTGTCACTTACGCAGCTGGGCGGATCAAGACATAATTATCGGGATCCGCTTCAGCTGCGGCGTCTCAGTATACCGCGAGCGGCAGCTCGCGGTATACTGCGGTGGCTCAGTATACCGCGAGCTGTAGCTCGCGGTATACTGAGCTTAGGATGACGAGAGGACCATAGTTTGTGTCCTCCCGTTACCCTAAGGAGAACTATGGGGAAAAGCCCTAACCCCATAGTTCTCCTTTAACTCCTGAGTTTAGTGTCACTTTAAATGTGTGCAAGTACCTGTCAGAATTGGTTGTTTTAAAAGGCATCGGGTGGACACACCATGTATTGATTTGATTTGTGTTTTTTCTGTGTAGGCACTTTGTAAGTTGTTACTTGGTATATAAAAACTGTTCATGTCATTGATTTTTAATCAATTTATAGCACTTTTCATAAGTACTTAAAAAACATTTGCATAGTACTATATACAAACAGACCAGGCATTAGGTAACATTTTCTCCATTATTCAGTTAAGCTACTTTACAAGACCAAGTATCCTTTACTCTACATGACTTACAGCACAACAAAGAGTAGGTGGGTTGCTACAAAGCTAGCCACTTCAATAACCAACTAGAGCTTCTTGAAGAAACATCGTTGTATGATTATAGTATATTGCACAAGCAACTTTCTTTCATTTCTAATGGCCCACTTGTACGCCGTTCTTCATTCCGTAAAAAAGAACTGGACATACGCTTTGGCTTTTGTTTTATGCAATATAATTTTGACCCTCTTGCCCTTGCAAATTATCCTTAACATTCAATTAAAACTTCCCTGGGCTACAAAGCTGTTTATTAAGAGAAACAAAACTGGGCAGGTTTATACAAAAACACACAATGATTACACAACATTTAAACAAATGAAAAAAAAAGATGGTTCATACAAGTATAATTTGATGCCGATTTATTTAATCTAACAGTAAATACTGGACTAAAAGAAATATAAATATTGACAAAGGGGAGGGGTAGTATAGTACAATCATTTTCAGTGTAAGGGGGGGGGAAATGTATACATATGCACACCTAAAAACCTGAATTAGGTGCAAACCGGATCCTACAGGCACAGTATTCGGTATATACAATATCCTCAACTTAGAAGGCAAGAAAAAAGGCAATACCTATACTAGAAGTAGTAAAACAGATTCAGGTACATTATAAAAACGTACATAACTGCATTCATTGATGTTTCCATGTGTCTGCTTAGTATGCAACTATAAAAGCAGTCGTGAAATCAATTGTGTATCTAATTTTAGGGATTCTGATGTTGACATGGTTTTGCACATCCAGCATACATACTTCTACACTTGGCACAACGGCTCTCATCATATTCTTTTAGCTCTGCTACCCGTGGTTGGTCCTCTCTGCCTGGTTTGCGGCGTTCTGTTTCTTGCCGAATTCGAGCAGCCTCCTCTTTAGCGTAAAGTCCAAGGTCCTGAGTGTAGCGCCCATACATCTGTACAAAACAAAAATGTAACCATTATCACAGGTAGCTCTCCTCTCGGAGTGTATCTTCTTCACAACAAAGACGTGAACCAGCACTTCACTGAAATACAGCCACAAAGATGCTAATTTGGTTCACACCGCAAATATAAAAAAGGTGGCTATAGGCAATCGAAGGCTCCTTTAATTTCATGGACTTTCATATACAGTAAAATATGCATGCTGTTTAGCGATAAGAAAACCCAGTTTGTTCAAGACAGACCATGCATCTGTTACCTGCCAGTGCTTACTACCAACTTCAATAATTTGGCACACTCCATGTGCAAGAAATGCACAAAGACGACTCAGTGTTGTTGACATGCTGCTTCCCCATCACTGTCACACACAGGGAGACAAGAGTAATATATGGTCTGTTAGTAAAGGAGGGTCAGAGTCAAAGAGTGATTTTTTTCAGAGGATGTACAGATGTAAGCAGTCTGCACATGCACACTTACAAATGCCACGCACACACACACACGTTTTTTAAAATTATTTTTCTTATAGTGGTTTCCATATGGAAAGATTCAGTTTCTCAGTCAATTAAACAGTTGGTCAATCTGAACATGTTTGCTCCTCTCTTATGCTTATAGAGAATACAATAAAGAACTGTCCAAAAAATTACATCCAATATACAGATGCGACCCACACATGTGAAAACTGTGCATATCAAACAACAGGTATCTCAGAGTTACAGGGATTTTAGAACACCAAGCATACACATATGCAATGGTTGGATCTCATCTGCTGAATGCGTCTATGATGCTCTCTATTCAGCCCCTAATTGGTGAACATTAGAACGTCTTTTTTTTCTGCTGTCAGCCTAAGGCCCAATATCATTCACCAAGGTTTATAACAATTTAGTCCATAAATACACATTTAATAGCTTTACTCTGTATGAAGGTTCGAACTTCGGGGCGTATTTTACGTAGATTATTTCACATGTAAAAGAAAAACCTTTAAGAAGTATGCTGAATCAGCAAGACTATGAAGTACAACAGCTCCCTCTTGTGGTAGCAAATGGATTTACAAATCAGAAAACTGAACTGCAAATAGTTGATATGCCTGAATATTTCCATATCTGTGCGCTTCACGAAATTTAAGAACCCAGACTATTCTGATTCCTGGATCATATGATTCTCTGCAGATTGAACTGCATAAAATATATTTAGGCAAACTGTACAAAAAATGATCCACCGGATTTGCAAATTGATTGGCTAATATACAGAACATTTTTGTCAGGTCTCTGTCAAACAAAGTATGTACACAACACAGAACACGAAGGCTACTGTGTGCCCAGTACCATTTATGTGATTGTATTTTACACAGTAATCTTAGTCCAAAAAGTAGATGCTGACACTTAATGATGTCTTAACAAAGATAGAAGCAACCTTCTAAGGAGAAATGAAGATGAATGGCATTGGTAGAGGTAAGGGTTAAGGTCAGCCTCACACCTGTGTGGTGCATTAACGCAGCAGAACGGACAAAAAAGTTCTTTTTAAAAACCACACCTGTGCTATTTTTCAGAACGCAGCGCACCACAGCGCAAAGTTACTGAACGTTGCTACACAAGGGCATTGCATTGGGGTGCTATGGAGTATAAATGGCAACGCAGCAAACTAATGTGTATTCTATGGTGCTGTGTGCAACCCTGGTCTTAGTTATTCGTGCTCTTAAAGTGAGAATGTACTTTGTCTATAACAGGTGAAATATTAGTTTTCATAGAAACAATTGCCGCACAAACGACTGCTATCACAAGCTGGATACTGTTCATTTCCGAAGTCAAAACATGCTGTAAAACACACACAGACTCCAACTCTTAACCTGTTTCAGCAAGCGGCTGATGATCTCTATGAATACGCCATTTGGTGAAATATGTTAGCGTTGGAGGAGTCTGTGTGTTTTTACAGCATGTTTTGACTTCGGGATTAGACAGTATCCAGCTTGTGATACCAGTCGTTCGTGCAACAATTGTTTCTGTGAGAATCAGTATCAAGCTGCAGTGTGCCCTTTTTTTTGCCTGCACCGACAAGAGGGATTGACCTATGTGACCACAGGACAAGGAATATAAGCAGTGGCTGCTTTGTGAGTTTTGTTTAGGTGAAATAACAGGTTCTCAGGAGGGAATATCAGTAGTCAGTACTTCTCTTCCCTGCTCTCCCTACTACCCTAAACTACTAATAGGCTATCCAAGTCAACACACACTCACAGGGCTTTGCAAACTCCCCTCAATCTCAGGAGGCGTGTCTCGATTCCCCATACCAGAAAGCACAGGCAATTTCTCAAGTGGTCTGGTGCTGGCTTGGGCAGCATGGGAGTAGAGGGAACGTGGGTACTTTTTACTTAAAGTAACCGCTATAATATGAACATGTTACTTTATCCAGTATGTGCAAAGTACAAGTTCGCTTCAACATGATCATTTATATCTGAGGTTAGGTCTCGTTTAAGATTAATACTGGTCATCAAACAGTTGCAAAGGTCTATTAATATTCACATTATTTATATTACATTATTTTATATTTACTGTGTATTAAGCCATTGTAATGCACTTTGCATAAAATATATATATAAATATTGTGTGGACATCCACAAAAATAATTGTGCATGATATGGTTAGTTATACCAGCTCAGCAAAAATCTCATCTTCCTCTCTTGTAGCCGCAGTGGCTTTAGTTAAAGAAACGTTCAATGAGCAGTCAGCCGGCACCTCCTCCTTATCACCAGAGTTGTAATCAATAGAAACCTATGCAGTGGAGGAGAATACTGTCTGATCTATTTCAGCTCTAGTAACAGAATGGATTACGATTTTCTGACTGCGATGGCTGGGATGTTATGATCAGTTCAGACCAAGAGTCCAAATAAGGTCCTGACAACAGAAACTTTTAGCCCCAGGACCTGGGGATGGACCAGAAATGGCTATTCAGTCTCAGACGGGGGGCGGATCAAATAATATAGCAGAGATTAATATAGAACACCCCGCAAATTAAAAATATACTTTGGATATATGTTTGGCCTTTGCACACTCTGTTTTCATCAGGATAAGAATGTATTCACTTTATGTTCCTTCGCTTGTACTGTGGTTGCTTTAAGGCCCCCTTTGAAGACATGTGGGCATCAGACCTTTAACACAGAGTTAGCATGTTACAAAGAGCTTTTAAAAGAAAAAAAAAAACCTAAGTTACAAAAAATCCCCTTTTTTTGCTCTTACTGGCATCCCATCATATTAAACGTAATGTGCTAGTTAATATTCTAAAGAATGCTACCAGGACTAATTATTTGTGGTTAAGTGGAGAGATAATTCTCTGATAAATCTCGGGTTAGCTGCTAAAAAAAATAACCAAATGTATAGTATTAAACTGTACTGCTTAGTACTAGCCTGTACCTGGTCTTGAGATTAGTCTCCTGTAATGGCCAGATTGGGAAAAGGATTTTTAGCACTCTAAGCCCATCAGGGCAATATTGCTTTCACAGTGCTTGTCAGCTAAACATTGAACATGATTTCTTAGTAAGGGAAAGCAGACTGATGACCTTATCAGTGTGCTGCTTCTCCTTCGCAGTCCAGTCAACAGGCCGTGGAACAAATTCTCTAAGGAAACAGCCCTTTTTTGTATAGTCACTGATTAGGTGGGTTATTACAATAGCAATGATTTGGGGGAGTGAACATACAATTCTTTCAGCTCAAACAGTAAGGTAGGACAGATAACAGAGAGACTTTAGGTTTTGTCTTGGGAAGATAATGTGGCTATTAATGAAATGCTACCTAGCTTTCTACTATATGCAGTAGGTAGGTGGCCTCCTTCTATGTGTATATATGTATATACACATACCTAGCAATCAGCCAATAATCTGTCAGAATAACTCCTGCGTGTTTATTTTCCTTACGCATGATTGGCAAAGTGCATTTTCCCTTAGCTCCACCTTCTTCACTAAGCTAAGCGACAGTTCACTTTGCAAAGTGAGCACACTCTACTCTTAGTTAAAGTAGAACTGAAGCCAAAACTTTTTTTTTTAGTTTGGATAGAATAAAGGAAGATTTTAACCTGTCAGCCTATTTATCCCATCTGTGTCCCATTGGGGAGATTTCCTTTCAGTTCTAGTCCGACAGCCACAGCAGGAAGCGAGAAGAAATCCCTGGTGGTCAGCAGGGTCCCCACAACTAGTGTCCCCATTGAAAGATCTCCCATCTATTCCTGTTCTGGTGACAACCAAAAA